GTCGCGTGAGGCACCGGTCCTCCCGCGGGGGGGCAAAGGGGGCTGCGGGCGCCCCTATTCTCCTACCTGCTTCGCCCGCAAGCGGCATATTTGCCTTCCAGCAGCAAAGCGGCTGCCGCATACGCACCCGCCTAGGCAGCGCCCGCCGCCACCACACCACGCACAACCCACCCAGCACGTGATGCACCCGCAGGCAATGGGGGCATTTAATATGCTCTGGGCCCCCAGCAACACCGAAATTGCAAGAAGCCGCCGCAATTGCTGTGGGGGGGGGGCAGAGGGCCGGGCCGAGTACAGCCAGGGCGCTCCCCACGACCATGCGCGCGGGCCAGCGCGAGCGCCGCAGACGGCCGCATCGCCCAGCGCAGAACCCGGCCTTCAACAGGACCTCCCCGGCACGTTGAGCGTCGCAGCGCACAGGTGCCTCGGCGCAGGGGGCGCCGCGTTCTGCTACGCTTTCCAACCCTCCGGCACCTGAGGCCGGGGGCGCCCTGGTTGACACGCTGTCACTGCATCTTCTGGCCACGGCGTGGAGCTAGAAGACCTCCAGGGTGCGTGGTTGTAGCTCCTTCTTGTGTAGGCGCTGCGGAGCGTTCTTGTCAGTAGAGGACGCCGCCGAGCAAGCAGCATCAAAAGCCAATGCGTGATCAACTGTGCCCGACTTTACTGTGTCATGCAGTTGTCCCGTGTGTACTGCCATGTTTTCTGTCATCAGGAGGTGGCGATCAGTCTTGCAACTCGAACACTTTGCTTCAAGCTGCGCATTCTTAGGCAAATCTTTTATTGTATCCCAGGCGGCGTGTCATTCATGTTATCTTCCTTATATATATATATGCAATAATCACTCCCTCATCGTCCAAACGTCGCATCGTAGGCGTGCTAGAAAAGACCGGTCTTGACCGCCGTTGACGCCCAGTTGATGTATGCATCAAAATTGAGTTTATGGCACCTGCGCCTGTAGCTGGAAATTCGGCCGTTGCGCTGATAAGGAAAACAACCCACAGCTGACGCAGGTCATACCAAGTCGATGTGAATCCCACGCTCCACCCTTTTTTCCAAGGTAAAGATGCGGCCGCTTAAGTGTGCGCACCGAAGCTTCATCCCTTCAAATATGAGGTGTGGAGGGGACCAGTAAAGATTCCGTGATGTACTGCAGTCATATTTCACGTCAGATGTTGTAAAAGACGGATTTGAAAACTTATGGGAAACAAAATAAAAAATAAAAATAAAGACATTGAGGTGTAAAGGAACTCTCATCTCCGCACTCAAATAAAATGGGATACGCACCGTTGATGAGGCTTCATTCTCTCACCCCACAGATAGAAAGGAAAAACACATCATAAACGGCTTGTTTCGATACGCCCACATCTCCAATTAGAAGATGATTTACTCTTAGATCCAAAAAAAAAAAAAGTGTATTTCAAGGTCTTTTATAGTGAAACGGCTCGTTTAAAATTTGCAAAGCGGCATTCCGTTGGACCTGTCGTTTACGCTCTCCACGCGGAGGTGACGGGTATAACCGCATCCGCCACCCCCCAACGCCCCCTCGCAGTAGACAAACAATAAAATAATGCATAAAACAGTATAAATAGAAGCACATCTCTTCATCGCCAATTTGAACTCTGTGGGGCAGAGCTACAAGGCAGAACCTGCCAAAGAGAAGAAAAATATTGTCCCAGTCTTTTCCCACGCCTGTATGGGAGTAGCCTGTGCACGTTTGTGCGTGCGTCCAAACTGAGAAGAAACACAAAGTAGTGGAGCAGAGAGCGCCAACAAAATCAAGGGGGAATACTACAAAAAAAAAAGTAATAATAATAAGGTTAAATCAAAAAACAAATTCTACAACTATGCTCGTTCCTAAACTCCACGGCCTGCAGCCAACTGTATGGATGCAAAGCAAAAAAAAAAAGCGACTTCCGGGCCCCATAAACATCGGCAGAAAAGGGAGCGTGACTCCCCAGCTCTTGCGATAGTGGCCGTAATCGCAGGGAGGAAAAAGGAGGTGACATATAAAGCTTTCTCCGATGGAAACTCGAGCCGCGTACGCGGCAAAATTCCAAGGGTGCAAAAGGGTTATTGGCATATCTGTATAATTGTAAAACAAGAGTGAGATGAGGCAAAACACACAAAAAAACAAACAAACAAAAAAAAAGATGAAAAATGCATTGCATTAAGGGGAGTGAAGAAAATTAATTGTTCTCAACGTTACTGCATGGGGACGAGGTATAAACACACTAGCAAAATTAAAAGAAGTATCGTGCGGCTAAGGAGGCACCTCTGCCGCGCGCCTGCACCTAGTCGTCGTTTCAACCTAAACGCCCCACACACACCCCTTGAGGGGGCAACAGCTGCATGTTTCCTCTGCATGTACTCTTTCAGGCGTTGGTGAGACTTATTCGTTGTGTCCAACTGACCCCGGTTTATACTTGTTAACGTCCCACCAAACAACTTTCCCCCCCCCCTTCTTCTCCACAAAATTCAGAGATTGTATCCACCTCCTAATTCACTGACAATAGCAAAAATAGAATCAGTATAAATCGCATAGTTAGATGGGATAAACTGCCGCTAAGAAGATGCTCCCCCGCCATGTCAGTGATATCACCGTGAAATGTCTTCTCAAACTTGTTTTCAGGGTCCGCCGCCATTTTGCCCACACCTAGCAAAAGCGCCCGAATCTCATTGGGTTGAAGTCCACGGTTATATAACATGACATTTGTCACTGTTATGTGACAGTCCGCGCTCACATCGTTGGCTCCATATCTTCCAAAGAAAAAGTGTGACACATCAAGACCTTCCAAGTGCACGCCTGAAACCATTTGCCCCGAGCCCTTCAGTGGGTTTCCATCAATGTAGACAGAACCTACACCTTCCTCAAACAAAAGTGTCACATGATAAGTTTTGTGCAGTTCCCACGATCCAGTTGAGAGAGAGGTTGTTGGCCCATAAATTGGGCACCATCGTTGATCCTTGTCGTACGACAGTCCAAGGAGTTTCCTGTTCCCAGATCCATCCAGGCTTGCGCCCAGCAAAGGCCTGGTACTTTTCGGAATCTCGTGAATAGATACAGAGGCCACCAGCGTGAATCTGTAGTTTACAAAATGATACCGTTGACTCTGTCCCTGCTTGCGCACCGGCCACATTGCCCCCGCCTTTCTCCCCTTGAAGGTAAAACCATAAGCCACATTTATTCCGTTCATTACGTTTGCGTTGACGCAGCGGTACACGTCCTCCCAGACGCTCCTATTGGCACGGTGAGACAAAAATCCAACAAGGCCTGCGGTAGGGACAACAGCACCACAACCACGTCTTGACGACGGAGCGGCAGGAACAACAGGGGTGCAAATGCTGGAGAGGTGGTTGTCCTCCTCCTTCCAGGTCCGCACCACGGATTTGATCAGTCGCAATTCCTCAACTAAACGCACAAAGACAATACCGTACACCTCTCTAATGTTGACCTCGTGTAAACAATACAACTTATCATCCTTGTACAGGATGGAGCTGTAGGCGGCACCTTCATCGCCAACGGATATTTGCCCAACGTCAAAAATGCGCTGATTGTCCGTCACCCAAAGGTTCAGGCGGTCGCGAATCCACAATCCTTTGAAGTTTAGCGGGTGGGTGAAGAGCATCACACGCTTCCCTTCGATCGTCACAGCAATGAAGCTGCTCTGACTGCCCGGATGGTTCGATGTTGGTGAGTTGGTCCACACACGGGAAAGTGTGCCGAGAGCCTCCACCCACGTCTTTCCCATGTCGCTCGACTCGTACACCAAGCGACGGTTCCCATCAACACGATTGTTTATGATGAGTTTCCCTTCCCACTCGAGGACCGAAGGTTCAGAGCAGCCGAAGTCGCTCCTGCCCTCCGAGAACTTCCACGTGGTGCCATCGTCCTCTGAGTACATGATCTTTGTGAAAATCTGTTTCTTCATGTTCGTAATTTGCACAGGATACACAAGGTTCCCATTGGACGCCACGATGGCAGCGCCCACACCACCAAGGAACTCCTTCGTGGGGACTCCTTCAAACTCTGCTGGAAACAATGGCTTCAGAGACACAGGCTTCCCCCAACTGATAGTTGCGGTTGTCTTGCCGTTCACAGCAGACTTCGTGACCTCACCAACGACGAGAAGCGGTTCCCAGTCGCTCCCATCACTCTGCTGCATCCAATATTTTTCTGACGTATTGAAGCTTCCCACCAGAACGTACAGCTTTTTCCCCTTCACGATCACTGTGGGGTCCATCACACGGGATACGGACGATGCGCGGCTGTTCTTAATTGCAATTTGGGTCTTCCACGTCGCACCATCGTCCACACTGTACTTGGCAACAGTCTCAATAAAGGAATTGTCATTGGCTGTTTCGTAACGGGCATCCGCAATGGCAACCATCACCCCATCCACATTAACAAGTGCGGGAGCGCGGAACGAGTCAACTACCCGATCCCTGACTTTGCCATTGCTGTCCTCAAATGGCACCGTGGAATTCCGCCGCTTAAAGAGATCAACTCGGCTTGATCCGGGCGCCAAGGCGTTCGACGTATCGCTAAAGCACGCCATCAGAAAAACCAAGATCAAAGTCTCTAAAACAAATATAAACATTAGCGTTTCCCACGTCAACTTCATAACAAAACTTCTAGCCCTCAACCAGAACAAACTCAAAAAAGAAAAATCAGATTGTAATCCTCACCCTAATAAACAAAAGTGCCTCAATAAATACACAACAACAACAACATAATTGGACTCCAATGATTACAACCTCATCGCTCAAAGACTAACTACAAAAACACCATACAACAGAAGCAGAAAGTAAGAAAAAAATGCACCTCCACAAAATAAACATAAAAGCCAACTCACCCTGTCAAAATAAAAAAAAAGCCACTCTATGGGGCTGTGTGCAACTACTCACAGGCGCTACACGGCGGGGGCATCAGCATCCGGTAACACTATGCACGTCGGGGGCGCGGAGCCGGCCCACGCACGCCGCGTGGCTGTAAGCGCGTGAGACGGGCAGAACACACAGGCGATGAAAGCAAAGATGAGAGGGGCAAAGTGGGTGGGCGAGTGTCCGCATCCGCACTCCCACACACACACACACACACACACTCCCACCCCTACTCTGTCTAGGGAGAGGGAAGAGGACCACGGGCACGGTTACGCGCGCTCGCCACGGAGGCA